CCCGCCTCTTTTTTTTTTTTTTTTTTTTGGTACCGGGGATTGAACTCGGGTCCTTGCGCTTGCAAGGCAGGCCTCAGAACCGCTGAGCTAAATCCCCGACTCATCTTACCCCTTTCTTAAACAACAATGGGGTTTGGCCATTTCCCTTCTAGGCTGTTTCCCCACACAATCTGAGAATATGGAATGATCTCCCTCGTGGTCCAAGCAATGGGCCAGAGAGGTGCTTTCACTTTCAGGATTCTGGCACTACAATCCCATTTAAACAGCCCCAGATCAAGGGCTGCCTAACTTTCTTAAGCCTTGCTTCTTTTTGTTTTGTCTTGTACTGGGGATTGAAAGGGCCTTCATAGTGAGCTGTATTCCCAGACTTCTTTATTTTCACAGTCTTGCTAAATTGCTAAATTGCCCAGGTTGTGCTCAAATTTGCCATCCTCCTGCCTCAGCCTTCCAGAGTGCCGAGATTATAGATGTTTGTCACCACACCCTCATAACCCCTGCTTCTTTTTTAACACTACAGCAGTCCTTCCTGCGCTGAGAAAATTAGATTTAAAAAGCATTCTGAAGGAGGTGGGGAACTCACCAGGAAATGGGTGTGGCCTGGGCGAGTTACAGACCCCCAGTGGAAGCACCAATCTAAAGAAACCATAAGCTTTATCTTCAGATTGACTCCAACACTTTTCTCCTTGAATTTTGGGTCTCAATTTTTATTTTGAGCTGAACTAGACAAACTGGGTCGGCTTACTGTAAACGATGATTACTCACATCACTTGCAACCTGTGGCATTAATTTAGTGGCAACTGAGAGCTAATTGAGAATCAGCATAACAAGCAAGATCAGGCTTGGGAGACGAGGTTTATCACTGACACATTTGCCGACAGGCCGGGTGATCCAGTGCACCACCCACCACGTGGGGTGTCTAACTATAATACCAAGCCACTGGAAACCCTTAAGCTGCTCTAAATTTTGGATCTAATTCCAGGAAAGAACTTGAGAATGAAAAATTTAAAAGTTGTTTGAGTTCAATCCCCAGTACCAAAAAAAAGTTGTCATCCTGCTTGTATTTTGTTTTTCTTTTTTGTTTGTTTGCTGGTTGGTTTTTTTGAGACAGGGTCTCACTATGTAGTTGAGACTGACCTGGAACTCACTATGTAACCCAGGCTGGTCTTGAACTCACAGCGATCCTCCTGCCTCAGCCTTCTGAGTGCTGGGATTACAGGCCTGCACCACCACGCCCAGCCCCCTGCTTCTATTTTGAAAGTATGTTTAGCCAGTGGTAGCGGGGTGCCAATCAAAACAGCACATTGTACCCCATCAATCTGCACAATCATGGTTTCTGAATACAAGATAAAAATCAATAAAAATTCATCTTTCCTTTGAAAATTAACATCTGAGACTGTACAGAAGTTTGAAATGCTATACTTTCTTTAACCATCTTTTAAGCAGTTTTTTGTTGCTGTTGTTTTGGTTTGTTTTTTAGCACTGACCCTACCACATGTGTTCATAGAAACCAGGCATGGCAGCCACAGTCCCTGCTACCACGAGGATCACTCGAGCCCAGGGATCCAGGCCAGCCAGGGCAACATAGCAAGAACCAATCTCTTAATAGCAACAAAATACAGAGAGACACTTACCAGGAATCCTGTTGAGGGTCACCCAGAAATGCTCGTCGGGAGAGTAGGTGTCCTTAGACCAGGAAAGTAAGTCCAGGGCTCGCCGGTCTTGCAGGACAAAGTCAGCAAATTCCCTGGTGAGGGCCACATAGGCAGTACCAAAGTAGATGGTCATATTGTGAGGCGGAGGGGGTTTTAACTGTGCTGTTTTCTGCACGTAGGAACTTTTGCTATCTAATAATTCTTGATGGACGTATTTAGTCCGCCCGATGGCATGATCTGGGGGCAGCACCCCCGGGGTCAGATTCTTCCCTCGGAACCCTTTCAGGTACTGCACGATCTCCCTGTTGGTCTTCAGGGGGAAATCTTGCCCGCACGTGTTGATGACGTACTTCCAGGGGACCTGGGAGGCCACCAGGTCTCTCAGGCAGTTCAGGTCGGCCTGGAGCCTGGAAAACCCTGCATAGACCACGGGTTCCATCTTGGAAGCCAGGAAGGCGTTGGAGAAGCAGCTCAGCAACCGCTGCACTGAGCTTTTAAACTTGACTGAGGACTTGGCATCCACGTGCACGCAGTAGACGTTGTGGGGCATGTAAATCGCCCTGAAGAGCCTCTCAAAAGTGCCAAAGTCTTTGTGGACAGTCATCGTGAAGGCCAGAGGGAAGGCAGCTTCTTCTCCAGAGAGCGTTTCTGTTATGTAATGACTCTGGATCTTGTACTCTGAACAGGTGGACTCGCGGAGGGTCGTTTTCAATGCATTTTCTGTTAGGTGAAAAACCTGCCCCTCAAGCAGCTCAGCGCAGGTTTCAGCTAAGATGGAAGCGTTGGTCAGGACTGCCCTCAGAAAACGCCTGTTCTCCTGTAACTTGCTATTGTAAACAAATACAAAAATCAAGGCACTAAGCAGAGAAACGCTGAAAAGACAGTACTTGCGGGAGACCATGGTGAGAACCAGGAAATGAGCACACCGGCTTTTGAGATACAATCAGTGCGTCAATGCCTTTAACTTACAGTTTTTCTGGGCTCCCACACGGTCCCGTGATGAATGCAGTTCTCATTAGCAGCTAACATCTCTTGTCCTCCGTGGGTTTTTTTCTCCCTTCCCTTCCACCTTCATATACAGTTCATTTGCATTTTCACTTTTCTTTGACACTTTTCCGAAGTAGCTTCTTTGCATTTGCCACACTGGGTTATTTCTCCCACTCCCCAGATCCCTATTACTACACAAAACCACTCCTGGGTGCCGGGGTGCTTCCTTATTCCCACAGCAAAGTCCACGGTGGGTGAGATGACCATTCTGCAAGTCACGGCTCTGGGACCTCAAACCCTGCCTCTTTTCCCAGCCCGGCTGGGACTGTCTGCTCTCAGCTTCCTGTTAATCATTGCATTCGACTAAGAGGAATTGTTTGCTTAAACGGCACTGCCAAGTTAAAAGCTTTGGTCCGAGCATGTGAACACCGCCTGGAGAGATGTTCTGTCAATAAAAAATGTCATGCTTGAAAATAAATTGCTTAACCTGTCTTTTTCCACAAATGCTCCCCTTTCCTCTCCATATTGGCATAAGACTGGATGTTGGGCCAGATTCTTTCCAGGGCTCTCTTTACTTCACAGCTGAGAAACATCTTTAAGAAGGCATATTAATTAGCAAGCTGATCTCACCATTTAAGTTACTGCACAAAGTAACTGGGGTGTTCTGGTGAACAAGGGCTAACATGTTTAAGAAAGAAGAAGAAGAACAAAAAAAAAAGCCCGGCTGGATGTGGTAGTGAACGACTGTAACCCCAGAACTCCAGGAAGCTGAAGTAGGAGGATTGGGAGTTTGAATCCAGCTTGGGCAACTTAGTGAGACCTTGTCTTAAAATTAAACATAAAAAAAAATGGACTGGGGCTGTAGCTCAGAGCAAAGGCCCTGGGTTCAATCCCCATGCAAGAAAAAGAAAAAAGACAACATAGTGTTACAGGTATTGTACAAGCATAGTGTTGTACAATAAATATATACATGGGGGGTGCTGCTGAGAGAGGGGCTTACTATTGGCTCAGGCTGGCATTGAACTCACAAAGTAGCCCAGGCTGACTGAGCCTCCCCCAAAAATATGATGATTCTGGGCATGGGCCACCACACCCAGCACACATTTTGATTTTTTTTTTTTTAAGAACATAAATGGAAGCTGAAGGTAGAGAGCTTTCTTAACAGGCCTGAGGCCCTAGGTTCGATTCCCAGCAAAACAAAACAAACAAACAAAAAACCCAACAAAACCCCCCAGGAGAAGATGCAAGTTTACATCCTGCTTTCTGAATTTGAGATGGTTCTGGTAATAGTGTCTGGAGTACTCCTCTACCTACATTAGGGGCTGTCTTCACAGCTGTTTAGAAACTCAGGGCTGGGCCGATCGATCGATGGTCTTTAGTTCTCCACCGCAGCTAGAAGCTAATGGATTAAAGAGGTGGCTGCCAACTGTTTCCCAGGCATGGGAGTGCGGGAAACGGACAAGCAGGGACCCAGGGAGAAGTCGCCAGCGCTCAGATGGGCTGTTTTCAGGAATCGGGCTCTCCAGTGTGATTCAACTGTAGACTCTTCAGTGTAACTCAGTATTCAATCAACCCCTCTAGCTTTTTCCTTAACTGCCTCTCCTGTGCCTCCCTAGAATTCCTTCAAGCAAAAATCATTTCCTCAACACTGTACTCAGACAAAAGAACTCTTTCTGGAAATAGCAATAAATAATAAATAAATGATAAATAATAAATTGGACAGGGTCTCACTATGTAGTCCAGGCTGGCCTTGAACTTGGGTTGATCCTCCTGCCTCAGTGTTGGAATTACAGGCGTGCACCACTGCACCACACCTGGCAATCATCAATCATCTGCTTTCTTATCTCATGGACCTGTAAGATGTCCAAAGTACCTTTCACATGTTCACTTTAGCACAATGTCACCTCTGTCCCAAAGTTAGAAACCAGAGAAGCCAACAGAAACTCCGGAGGTTGGGAAAGCCTGGCTGGGTCTGCGGGAGAGAAGGTTTGAGTTAACTCCGAGTTTAATCGGAAGTGGATGCTTTTCTCTTTTCACTACTCCAGTTCTTCCCTGGTCCTCCTCTCTCTCTTTCTTACTTTTCTGTTTGTTACTGGTAAATTCGGTACCATATGGTGCCCGCTGAGCTAAATCCCTGGCCCTCAAAGATGTTTCTTTATAACCAGGACTTGGCCTGAAGCGACGGAGTTTGAAAGAGGCAAGGAGCTTCTTAATCCCTGGATTCTGTGTACCATAGTCTCTGGGTGAATCAAGGACCTTTGCGTCAGGGTGCTGAGCCCTTGAACAAGTCACTTGATCTCACGTCTCTGTTTCTCTTGGCTGAATTTGACAAAACAACCCTGAGGGATGTTGCAGGCAGGAGGGGATGGACTCCAGTTGACCACGATCCCCTACTCTCAGCTCCACTTCCTTCCTAGCTGGGCCATCCGCACCTCGGAGTCTTTTTTTCAACTCCAAAGTCAAGGCCACAGCGGCCCCCTGGAGGTGCTGCGAAGATTCTGGAGATAGCGCACCTCCAGCACCCAGCTCCAGCCAGACAGTGGAGCCAGAGCTAACTTCAGACCTCGAGGGAAAGCCGTGGGGTGAAGAAAAAAGGAGGGCGGAAAACAGGGTGTGTTGTCATGGCTGAGCTTAAAAGAACTGGAAACACTGAGGCCACTCAATGTGGAGGCTGGAAGCTGAACAATAAAGTGTACTTCAGAGCCATATTTGCCACTGGAAAACGCCCGGCAACCCCAGGCTTTACTTGCCAGGTAAGGGAGGCGTCTCAACTGAAGAATCTCAGGCATTTTTTTCTCAGCCTAATTTTTCTGTGCTGCAGACAGCGTTGGGTCCTCAAGTTTGATGTGGGTGTACTCTAAGGGTGGGTGTGTTTTACTATGAGAAGAAGGTAGAATAAGGGCTCAATACCAGTGCCAGCTCGACCACCCCCTTTATACATTTCTATGTCCTTTTTCCACCTCTACTGACCAGCAAGTCCTTGACATGATTTGTAACTATAGAAAGGTCACCCGGAGAGAGAGTAAGATGTTGGGCTTCTATGCACTAAAGGGGAGCACTGTGAAACAACACAGACCCACTTCTGATTACATCATGAGCTCAGCTAGAATGGGGTGAGAAAGAATGGATCCCCTGGCCCTGGGCTTGCCCTCTTCCCATTTCTTCCCAAAGACAGCAGTATACAAGCAACTGACTGGTGCCTACTCTCCAGTGTGTTACCAGATTAGGAGTGATCCTCCTTACACATGACAAAAAAAGACCCAAATTTTAAAACAGGGAAACCAAGCCCAGAGTGGTGGTACACACCTGTCATCACAGCACTCTGGGAAGTGAGGCAGGAGGATCACAAGTTCAAGCCCAGCCTGGGCAATTTAGCAACTTAGCAAAATATAGTCTCAAAATAAAAATAAAAAGGGTTGGAGCTATGGCTCAGTTGGAAAGCCCTGGGCTCAATCCCTAGTACCACGAAAAAAGAAAGAGGAGGCAAAAAAAAAGTAGCTTTGAGTTTAGCAAAACCCAAATTTTCGTAGAGAATCTGTTGGTACTATTCGATGTGTTCCCACAGAATTGCAAAATTTTCCACAGGGTCCAGAATTTCATTTTTAGTTTTTTTTCTATTATCAAATGAAGTTCATACATCACAGGAATGTTTGGGGAGTGACTACTTAAATAAATCACGTGTGCAGTCCTGAGGGACCTGATAGCTTCTGAAACTCTGGAAGCATTTCTCCTTGCCTCAAGGGACGTGAGGGACACCACTGAGTTAGGAATAGTCATTGTGGAGCTAGGGATTTAGCTCAGTGGTTTCACTGTCTGCCTTGCAAGCTTAAGGTCCTAAATTTGATCTCTGGTACCAAAAAAAAAGGAATACTCATGGTCTTTTCATGAAAAGTTAAAGGTAACTGAGATTGAGTACTCACCGGCATACTACACGATAAAACAACATACAAACGTGCTCGTCTTTAAAAACCTGTAAAACAGAAATCTCGTGTGCCACAACCAGATGATACAGGCATTTCCCAACATTTGGGGGTACTCACTTTATGCCAGAGGGTGTCCTAGGCTCTTAAATGTGGCTTGCTGGATCTCAGCCGCTACTGCGAACCTGGTGGAGGTAACTCCAGAAGACTAGCGCTTTCCAGTTTCCTCCCTGCTGTACTTTTCCAGTAAGCTGGCATCTCCTGAGCTCTCTGGGTTCCCAGGAGGATAAAATTGCCAGGAAGCATTCTGAGGGAACTGCCTCAGCATCGGTAAGGCACAGGCGGATCCTAAGCAGAACAATAAAGCCTGGAATGTGAGTGGGAAGGTCTGTTTGCCTCTGTCCTACACCCCAAGGCCAGCCCTCAGCTGCTGTGGGTTGTCAGGAGCCTGCCTGGGTGGGGATTTCCTCAAGCCTTTGAAGTCCAGGTGTGACCTTCTCTCTACAGAATCTTCCTGAATGCCAGGATCTTGGGGGGCTTCAAGCTGACAGCTTCCAACTCCACCAAGGCTGTAAGATGAAGCTACTCAGGGAGATTACAGCAGGGGGGGGGGATTGGATCTCCATTTACAGTTGTGCTCTTACACTTAGTTCCTGATAGGAAACCCTATAGCCTCGGGTCCCCAGTGACCTCTAACAGACTTCCATGTGTGTGGCACTCAAATGCCTCCCCTCTAGGAAAGGAAAATCTGGAGGTGGTAGGAGGATTTAGTAGAAAATGTCCTGGCCTGAAGTCAGGAGTCACAGAATAACACAAGTTATATCCCGCGAGCAAGCCATTCTGTCTCTCTCTCCCCAGCTCAGGTTCTTCCTAGGCAAGGCAAACAGGTTTTAACATACTCTTCCAGGATTTAAATGAGCATACTCTTCCTGTCTGGGGTAAAGCCATGTATTACTGTAAATTTGTCCATACACTTTCACCTGAAATGTGTTTGAAGTTTGAAGCAGCTCATAAAATTCAGTGGGGTGAAACATGTACACAGAGCCAGGCATAATGGCATATGTCTGTAATTTCAGCAACACAGGAGGCTGAAGCAGGAAGATCACAGGTTCAAGGCTAGACGAGGCAAACTAAAACGTGAAAGGACTGGGAATGTGGCTTAGTGCAATCCCCAGTGCCAGAGTATTTTTGTTTGTTTGTTTGTTTGTTTGTTTGTTTTTGCAGGCATAGAACCAAGGGCCAAGATAAACCAAGAGAACTATAAATCACCAATTCTTAAACTGACCTATTCCTGGGAAGGCTGAAAGAAGTCCATCTATCTTCTGATCATTGCTGCTATGAGAAATTACTTTTTTCTATGTACTTTCTTCTATTTTCTTTATTTTCTAAAATATTCATGAATTATTTTCTAATTAGTAAAAAGTTCACTGGGCTGCCTGGGTTCCCCCACCTTCATCTTTCTTATGCTACACAAGTTAGGCACAGACAGACTTTCCGTCTCCTCATCGGCGCACAAGGATATAGGAGGAATAGAACTCCCAACCTGCTGCGGGGCTGGGGATTTAGCTCAGCGGTTCAGTGGCCTGCCTTTCAAGTGCAAGGACCCAAGTTCAATCCCCGGTACCAAAAAAAAAAAAAAAAA